TCTCCTAAATGCATGGAAGATGATGCTTTGTCACAGCTAGAAAGTCTTTGCACTGTAGTTCCTGCAAGAAATACACTCAAACATCTTGAGCGAAATGCAAAAAGGATGGAGAAGTCTCTGAAATGAGAAAAGATCACCAACCACAACTTACTTTCCACCCCAACTGCTACTCTTTTATGGCTTAAGACATGTGATATCATCCCAAACAAGCATGCAATATCATTCCCACAATTTTAAACAACCAATCAGAAGCCGTGCATCCAAATGAGGTACGTCATCTGAATATCAGGTAGAAATAACTGTTGTTGTATTTGACCTGACTTTTTCCTATAACAACAAAAACTCATTCAGAGATTTGAATCCTCACCTTGGTGGCCACAACACTAAGTGCCAAACAAAACACTACTGAAGAATTGTCCTTCACTGTGGATTCTTGAATCAACCTGACAGTACAACCAAATTCAAGGGGTACCATTCCCTGATTTCCCCCACCCAATTCCACAATCCACTACTGCCCTGGCCCAAATCTTCCACTCCACATTTCCAGTCATCCGTTGTATAATTGCTTGCTAAAAGTGTATGTTAACAAATGCCCTTTCCCTCCCTCACTTAAACGTTCTGTGGTATATCTAGTGAAGGATGCTGGACTTAAATGGTGAAAGGTTTGTTTCACACAGGACACCAAATCCCTCTTCCAGTCTTTGTGGCTAAGAATGGGTACATTCCAGTGATGTTTTCACTGGCTACAGGTCATGGAAGCCAGTTCCATTCCTAAGGGATCAGAGAAGCCAGATGGATAATCAGCACAGGTGGTCAACTCGAGTCTCTGGGACATGAAGTGACTAGGAGTTTTTCTTCTCATCCTTGATGAGATGCTGGTCCACTGCAGGGGACCCCAAGCAATTGTCAGGTTGCCCTCACAAATTGGCCAGTGCCATTTACACTGTTGGGCGGAAAGAGGCATTGCAAGAGTAGAGTATATTGACTGAGAGCATGACACAGTGACCCCAGCTTGGGCTCCATTTCAGACCTATTGATCCAGACTCCCACTGACTAACCACAAGGCCATCAACTCACCACCCCTGGCCAGCACCACACAAACCCCTCCCAGCAATGATGTGATGATACCTTTAAACCATTAAGAATTCTGACCCAACATTTTGACAGCAGGCCATACATCGTTTTAGATATTTAATACGAAGCCAAATTTAACTTGCCTAGTTACATGTATTTGATTGATGGTAGCAGCTAGCAATGAATGAACTTAATTGTTATGACTTACCGGTAGGTAAAGCATGAATAGTTTTTTTTCCCAACTTTCACACTAAAGTTGTCTGGTATACCCACTGGTGGGACTTAAATGAAACATTCCACGTTATGTTTTACAGGACAAAGAGGACAGTCTTCTTGGAGTCTATAAGATAGAAAATGAAATGGAAAGCACCCACATCAGCAAATAGCTCGCACATTGCTAAGCTTATTTTGCTCTTTGCCCTATTTTACATCACTTTGTTAGTCTGAAGAATCATTCATTTGTGTATGAAAGCATAATTTTGTGTAACTATTTATATACCCAGGTGCATAAATGGATAGATAAGAACTTAATCCTCGAGATAATGCAAAATACAAAAATCAGTGTACAGTGGAGACCAACTACACTTAGAGAGAGTGTTTTGTAAATCTATCCAAACGCAAGTACCAAAAGTGAAATACAGCAACACAACAAGGAAACTAAGGTTTACCCATGTACCTGGAGCATTTTTTTAAGACTGACAACCTCTTCTTTGATGTAAGATTAAATATCATTGGCAGAAGAGCTGTGCACAGTCCTATAGTTATTACACTGTAAGCCTACAGTTATTTTGGAAAGTCTAATATCTGTCTTTCAACATGCATGTACAGTCCCACCTTTCTCAGCTTGTTATTTATAAGCAGTTGCTTTATGGACTTGTCTTCAGAATAGTGACTTGTAACCACACTGAAATACCAACAAGACAAACTTTCGTTTTAATAGTTGGCCAGGTACAAAATTGTTTAACATATGAAATGATCTCATCATTCTTGCTCTCCCTTTCCACAGCACTTTCCTGGTAATCACTTGTTCTGTGATCATCACCCTGTACAGTGAAGCTACACTGTCCATCAAGTATTTTTATTCCTGGTAACTGACAAGTATCTTTGTTTCTTTCTAGCCAAACACAAGGACGTGGGACCAACATGCCAAATTGTGCATCCTATTTTTAAACTCTGTACAGTTGTCAAATAATTAATGTTCACATGAACTTGTCTTCGCAGAAGAGGGAAGGTAAAGAAAGCTTACATTTCATCTTATCACATTTTCTAAGCGGAATACGAGCTTTAACCACTTGCACCGAAGGAACAACCGGTAACTAGTGAGACAATCTCAGATAGTGCAGAGCGCAATTGATAGCTCTGGCACGGTAGTCCCATAAGTACTCACCCATGCTCGGTTCACTTCCGGTTT